ACAACTCCACAGCACATAGCAGCACAACGAGAATGTTGAGTGGTAAGGAAAAGCTTCTTAAAAGGGAGTTGGAATTGATGGATTAGGAAAGAATGAACAATGTTTTCTGATATAACTTTCTATTGAGACTGGATATCACTGTTTGGATTATAAAAAGGGTCCTGCACAAAGCAGGATAGGGACCTCTGAATTTCCTAGGACAGAGGACAAAGTTTGGAACTAATTGACTCTGATCTTTAGTATGTGTTTATTCTATTGTGTGATATGGTTATGGTGAGGCCTGAAAGTAGGAGCAGATTATGTAATGCTTTGTTTTATGGAAGGGATTTACTGTATGACTGCCTGCTTGTAATGCAGAGCATTTGAGAAAAATAAGAAGACCCCTAACAAGATGGACTGGCACAGTGGCAGCAGCATTGGGTTCAAGCATAGCAACAATTGTGAGAATGGTGCAGGACTGGGCAGTGTTTTATTCTGTTATACATAGGGTTGCTATGAGTCGGTACTGACTCTATGGCACCTAACAACAACAACAACAACAACAACAACACGAGTGCTCTGGAGTCCTGGTGTGGCTCTGTAGGATCAGCACTGGACTGCTAGCCATAAGGTTGGCAGCTCAAACCCACTACACATGCCTTTGACACCCTATGAAGTGTTGCTATGAGTCAGAACTGATTTGATGACACAGAACAACAGCAGCATCTGAGTGCTTGTGAAAATAGTAATGTCTGAATTCATTCTAATTCTAATAGGTGACAGTATCTGTTAGCTTTTATTCTAGGTCACGTTTTGCTGCATGTGTTTCTACAGTCTTCTGAGTGGCTTCCTGCTAGCTTACTTGTGGTTTGTTTCCAAGTATTCTAAAACCCCATGGACCATGAAAACAAGGCAAAACAAAACTGACACAAAACTGAGCTAAAGGAAAAGGATTGTCCTGGTAACCTTAAACAGTGCAACAAGATTTCTTTTTCATCACTGTCTAGGGCACACAGCTCCATAATGCTACGTGTACCACCTGAAGGCCTCCCTCTGTGAGATTTCATTATGGACTTCTGGTGTGGCACAGTAAGATAAGGCAAGACTGCAAAGTCGGTTTGAACCATAAGGTTGGTGGTTCAAACTTACCTGTCATTCCTCAGAAACCCTATTTTGGGTCACCATCTGTCAGACCTAACTCAATGGCACTCAACAACAACTACAGGGTCATATAGGTAGTCCTG